ATTGATTGTTCAAGAATTTGTTATTCTACAAGAAGTTTTTAAAGTCATGATCAAGAAATAGGTTCAAGAATATTTTTATTATTTATGATTCAAGAATATTTTTATTTTTGAATATACTCATAAACATATTCTGTCAGAATGTCCGAATTAAAAGAATTATAATTCGTAAAATCGGATTTTTAAAATTAATAGAATCTATGATCCCTTAAAATATGCAATTTTCCTTTATTAAATGTATACTAATTGACTAAAATACCATTGTAATTAAATTAGATGATATTTTTCAATTATATTTAATTCAATAATATGTATAAATCACTTTCTTAAAAATAAGTAAAATTGATTGGCTCACATTTATATATACAATAACAAAATAATTACTTTGAATAGAATAACCTAAGCCCTATATATATATATATATATATATAGATATATATATATATATATATATATTATAGATATATATAATATATATATAATATATATTATATATATATATAGGGCTAATGTCAAAAAACCCTCAAGTTTTTAGGGTTTTGTCGTTTTACCCAAAGTTGAATTTTATGTCCGTTTTTACCCTAACATTTTCGAAAAAATGTTCGGTTTTACCCTTTTACCGGTGATAACAGGTTTTCCAGGTTACCATTATATTAAATTCGCAAAAAAAATCCTTAAGTTTCCCCTTTTTTTTACGTTTTTACCCTTAAGTTTATAATTTTTTTACACTTTTACCCTAAGTATTTTTTTCATAATATACGTATTCATGCAGAAAAATCGAATTTATATACGAAAAAATGATTAATTAAATATCGTATTTATAATTTTTTAATGTTATATATATATATATATATATATATATATATATATATATGTTTGTTTGTGTGTGTGTGTGTTTGCAAGGTTATACCATTTAAAAAGTAAATAATATTTTTAGAATTATGAATACGTGTTTTATAGATAGTTTTACAAGTATAAATACATATTTTTATATTTTTATATATTAATATGTATCTATACTTCTAAAAATATATTTATACTTAAAAAACATATATCAAAATACATATTTACACTTCTAAAAATATATGTATATACTTATATAAACAATGGTTCAACAAGTTTTTTTATTGATATGTATATTTTTAAATACATAAAAATATGTACCTGTAGTTCTAAAAACATTAATTGTGTTTTTTTTACATCTTAAATGATTTATCCAAGAAAAAACACACAGACACACACACACACACACATCACATATATATATATATATATATATATATATATATATATATAGATATATATATATATATGAAGAAAAACATTAAAAAATTGTAAATACAATATTTAATTAAATTTTTTCGTATTATAAATATTATTTTTCTACATGAATACATATAATATGAAAAGAAAATACAAAGGGTAAAAGTGTAAAAAAATCTAACTTCAGGGTAAAAACATAAAACAAACTATAAACTTAAGGGTTTTTTGCGAAGTTAATATAATGGTAACCTGTTATCACCGGTAAAAGGGTAAAACCGAACATTTTTTGGAAAATGTTAGGGTAAAAACGGACATAAAATTCAACTTTGGCAAAACCGACAAAACCTTGAAAACTTGAGGGTTTTTATGGATTAGCCCATATATTATAGATTATATAGATATACTATATATATATATAGATATATCTATAATATATTAGATATATATATATAATATCTATATAGATATATAATATTATATATATATATATATATATATATGGAAATGTAACCGTAGAATAATCAACTATTGTTATTTGTTCAATTTGATCACAAAACTATTTTTATGCACAATAATTCATTAAACTTACAAGTTGTTTGTCAATTAAATCACATTTGTTAAATTTTTAACAGATCCCACGTTACCAAGTTTACGTGGAAGTGTGACGTGTCGAAGAAACTTATGTGGCAGTGCGCCACGCCATTAGTCATCCACCCCTTTTTTTATACCTTTTCTACTTAATTTATATCATTAAACAAATATATGGGTGACAAACTCAACCCATATCTCTGTCTCTCTTACATACAGAACCATACTTTGGAAAATGTTCAAAATAATTTTTTGGAAAAACAAGTTCTGCAAATCGAAACATAGGTCCGATAATCGGATATGAACACTGGTGTTGTCGCGTTGAGCGGAATCAGGTTTTGACTTACACTTTTGACGTAGACGATGTCGGAGTTCAAGTATCCTTATGGTTGTTGAATCAGAGTTGAAATCGATGCATACAAGGGTTTCTATGAACGGCGGTGCTTTACTGCTCGAGAAGGAAGAAGAGAGAAAGCCATCTTCGTTCGTGTACCACTGGTTAGAAGGGAAGAATGGACGAAAGAAAACAAGAAATTGGTGTTGGTCTGACTCCTGTTAAAGGTCTCGTTCATGTGAACGAGAAGAAGGTTAGTATTATGTAGGTAGGACATGCCCTAATTAATTTTATTAAAAAGATAAAACATAAAAAATGAGAAAATGTCATTGTAGCACAATCAACTATTGTCATTTACCCAATTTGGTCACTAAACTATTTTTTTTACGCAATAGGTCACTAAAATTCCTCGGAATGTCACACTTCGATGTAAGCTCGGTAACCGGGATTCGTTAAAAATTAACAAAAGTGATTTATTTGTCATGTAACTTCTAAGTTTAATGACTTATTACACAAAAAAATAGTTTAGTGACCGAATCAGATAAATGACAATAGTTGATTATACTACAAGGACATTTTCCTTAAATTTAAATAATTTGATAATATATAAACAAAACTGCTAATATGGTTAATGGTTTGCAAAAAACGCTAGATATTATCTACAAAAATTCAACTAGCATGGAAGGTCAAAAAAATATGCCACCGAACATATGTATACGAAAAACAAACAACGCACATACACACACTACGCGGGTGTTTGGGATTGTTTGTTTTTTTTTTAACTCTAAAAGTGATTATGGGCAAAAATATTTATTAATTTATGGTGGTGACAAAAAGAGTTTTTAATATAGTGTTTAGACTAGTTTTGTGGTGACAAAAGTCAATAACTCAATAAGTTAAAAAATGGTTGATTTAAAATCTCATTTGTGAAGTTATTGTGGTTAAAAAACTAAAAAAAGTTTCAAAAATTCAAATATACATGAACTTTAAGTTTTTTTTTTAAACTAATAGAAAAAGTATTTTGAAAAATGCTTTACTTTTAGTTTGGCAAACAGTTTTTTTACCTGCCCAAAAAATCAATAAGAACAATCACAAACACCCTCCAAAGCATCTTCATCTTCATCTTCATCTTCCTTTGACATTAAAAGCAAACAAATATACTCATGTCTCCCCAATCTCTCTCGTCAACTTTACTCTTTTTATTTTATTTTATTTTATTTTTTTAATGTCCAAACAAGATCACAAGATTTCAAGGTCATAAGTAGAAAACTTCTTTTTAAAATGAAGAGCATAGGTTGCCAATCGACATCTCATGTTGGATTTTTTCCCTAAATTCAAAACCACTTCTCAATCGAACCACACCAGTCAATTAAACCATTGCTTTCCGCTTGAATGGAAAATCAAAACCCATGGAAATCAATCTTGTTTTTGTTTCAAAATCAAAGTTCATGGAACTGGATCTAACCCAAAAATATAAATCCCATGAAAATATGGAATTAATGGAGAAAATGAAACATGCATCCAATCCAAACACAGCATGTCTAGTCACAAATTCAGTAAATCCACCAATACCAATCACCAATCACTGATCCCGTGATCTGGTGACCACACTGCAAGCACTAACCCGGAGGAAGTCGAAAACTGGTGTTATGCTTGGTTGATGTGTCTTCCGATTTGAAGTCCAATAAAAAGAACTAGTAAGGAATTGGGTTAATTCATCTCATGTAATGAGATACGGATTGGGGAAGAAATCAAAAAAGTTAATGTGTATCTTTATTTGTGTTTATGAGAAGTGGAACCTTTAAATGTGATTTATGTATGGTGACACGTGTGTAGGGGCGTTTAGAAGAAAATAAAGAATTGCATGTAAGGTGAAGAAGACAACAATGAAGTAGGGGTGACAGTTTACATATGATGGCAGTGGTGGAAATGAATTATACAACACCTAATTTGATATTATGCTAATCTTTTACATTAAAATGGTATAACACTTTCGTGTATCATTTTTAGTCTCACATCTTTCATTTTATTCTATTATATTCTATTATAGTTTAAAATATGTAAATAAGTAAATCCTAAATGTAATAATTATTTATTATTATATTATGTTATATATTAAATTGATATTAATTAATCATAAATATAAAAAGATGTGCTTGAAATATAGTTATTTTATTTACCAGATGTCATTTTAATAAAAATAATACCTAATTTGAATTAATAATATATAAATAACTAATTTGGATAACCTAGTATTATATTTTATAGATTTTTTACACAAAAAATGTAGATGTAGATAAACAAATAAAAAGGTAATAAGTTGAAAACGACTTTTGACAATCTGTATAAGTTAAAAAAAAAAAAATATGCCAGTGAACATACTTTTAGGTGTAAAAATGGTGATTGAAATACTATTACATCATCTTTTTTACAAATTTTGTGTGAAAATTTGATATAGGATATTGAAGATGGTCTAATGGAATTGAAAACCTTTATTTAAATCGAAGTACGTAAATCAAATTCAAATCAATTTTACATAAACATGAGCTTCGTTCAAGAATTTGAAGCGGTCCATGGAGGCAATCGTTTCTAGTACAGTCTAAACCACAGAAGTTCTTGGATAAATTTATTGCTATCACGAAGCTGTTGACTTTCTTACGTAGCATAGTTGATGTTGAATTAATGAATTATTATGACGTATTTTCAACATTGGCGTGATACCTTTTTTCAACTTGTTTACCAAGCTTTACTTCAATTGACCAGATATTTAATATTTACATATAATCTTCGTCCACATGCACCCAACAACAGCTCGTCAATGGATGATCATATCCATCCCATACTTCCATTCTTCTTCATTCCCTTCTTTCTCCTGTCAAATTCTGCTGCACTGAACACCATATCAGTAAACGAAGCCATAAAAGACGGGAACACAATCGTTTCAGATGGTGAGATGTTCGAACTCGGCTTTTTTAGCCCCAAAAACTCAAAGAATCGGTATCTGGGTATATGGTACAAGAAGATATCAACTGGTACAGTTGTATGGGTCGCCAACAGGGAAACACCAATTACAGACAACTCCGGCGAATTCAAACTCAGAAGCTCCGGAGGTCCGGTGATTCACAGTGGCGGCACCACCGTGATCTGGTCATCCAATTACACGGTCTCCGCCACAAATCTTGATCCCGTGGCAAATCTTCTGGATACCGGAAATCTTATCGTGTTTGCCAATGGGAAGCTAATTTGGCAAAGTTTTGATTACCCTGGTGACACATTGCTTCCAGGAATGAAAATCGGGAAGGATTTGGTGACAGGATTAGAAAGATGCTTGACATCATGGAAAGGTCCGGAAGATCCTTCTCCGGGTCATTACATATACTCACTGGACACAAATGGGTACCCACAAATACTTCAGAAACACGGGTCAAGTTTACACTTCCGGATCGGACCATGGAACGGGGTTAGGTTTCACGGTTTACCCATTGAAGATCCGAATCAGTTTTACTCATCTGAGTTTGTTATTAGTGAGACAGAAATATATTACAAATTCAAACTTAAAAGTTCAGTTTTCGAGAGAATAGTTGTGATGTCTGATGGCAACACTGTGCAACTTCATTGGACAGATCGAATCCAAGATTGGGTTCATTTTGGAGATGCGGTTGTTGATGCTTGTGGTCGTTATGGAGTTTGTGGGCCTTATGGAGTTTGTAGAATGAAAGAGTATCCACCTTGTAGGTGTATGGAAGGTTTTAGGCCCACAATCCAAGAAGATTGGAACGCAGCTGATTGGTCGAGAGGGTGTCGACTTAAAAAGCCTTGGGATTGTGGGGGTGGGAAGAGTGATCATGGGTTTAAGAAAGTTGCAGGATTGAAATTTCCAGACACACGGGGTTCATTGTATAATAGGAGTATGACACTTGAAGAATGTGAGATGACCTGCAAAAGGGATTGTAATTGTACAGCTTATGCGAATTTAGATGTTAGAAATGGTGGAAGTGGGTGTTTGTTATGGTTTGGGGATTTGATGGATATTAGAGAGTATGATGAAGATCATGATATTTACATAAAAATGGCTGCCTCTGAGTTAGCAGGTATGAATCTTAATTTCCTTTGGAAAATTCTAAATTTTAATCAGGGAAATCTCCAATAAATTCTCAATATTTTGGACGAATTTACGATTTAATCCTAAATTAAATTTTGTTTACAAAAAAGGACAAAATACCGGCTAAAACTTCGGAATAACCCTCCGTGACCGGTTTCGCAGATTTAGCTAGTATTCCGGGTTTTTTCGTTAACTGATCAAAATTTTGGGGCTTTTCCTTTAATTGATCAATTACCTTTAAACTTATTGTGAATTTCACTCATCCGCATCTCAAACTACTACTCCTTTCTGTTTATCACTTTTTCTTATCCACCTCTCCAAGTTGTACTCTTTCAACTTATTTAGTGTTTTAATCTAGCACGAAACGACATATTTCTAAAGTCTATACTCTAAACCAATCAACCAGACACGAAAATAAATTGATTGACACAAAAATAAACGGGTTGAATCATGCACTTCAACACGCTCATGTTAAACTCGTACCTCAATTTGCCAAGGACAGTAGCAACATCTTGGTAGCAGCTAGTCTTGCCTTGGATAGACCACAAAACACAGATTCGTTTGAACTTGGATACCTCATTTCACACACGCACACACAAGTTCCATATCAGAAACTTTTATGTGTGTGTGCACATAAAAAGGAAAGACAAAGATGTATCTGAGGGGTGTGTATATGTATCTCTTATCGCATCCTTCTCAATTTTGCAATAGATAGAAAGAAACAGAGGGAGAAAGAGGGCAGATGGATTAAAGTTTTAAACAACCAATAGAATGAAGAAGAAAATGAGTATTAACAAGAAAGGTTATCCCATAGATTTAAATATACCTGATTAGTGTTATTATGTATGTTTTGTGGTTATCTCAATACTTAAACGAATGTTGAAATCAAAAGAAAATATACAAATATTTTTGTATGAATTTCATCTTGCAATCATGAAGCTCTCTATCTTTGGTAAAGCTTTTTACACAAATTTATGAAGTTTGTTAGTTTTTTGGATTGTATAGATACTTTTTTTTATAAATTTCGTGACTTTAAAACTGAATATATGACGTTGTATAAAAAGAAATGAAAAAGTATACTCATTTAAAAAACAAACCATTTTTTATATATTGATAAAACGATTATTCCAGAGTTTTAGCTGAATTAACAAAAAAGTCTCAATATTTTGACGAATTAACGAAAAAGGCCGGAATACCGGCTAAATCTGCGAAACCGGCCACAGGGGGTTATTCCGAAGTTTTAGCCGGTATTTTGTCCTTTTTTGTAAACAAAATTTAATTTGGGACTAAACCGTAAACTAGCCTAAAATATTAGGACTTTATTAGAGATTTCTCATCCCTTTTAATTATGCATTTCTTCAGCTTTTAGAAATTAAGACCCTGTTTGGTATGTAGGATAGATGACATAAGAGACTGTATTGTGTTAAGGACTTAAGCATGAATTGGATCCGGAATGTGACTAATACTAGATTGATGTCATGACAAAATTTGCAATTTTTGTCGAAAGGGTGCTCTCTTTATCTCTTGGGCAAGACGTGAATGATCTTTTCATCCTTATCATAAAAAATAGTTACAAAAGTTGTCCACCTTATCAGACATTATTTCCAAACTTATTTACAGTATTGCAAATCTTACGACTGTTATCTTTCTCAAATGGAAGGGTTCTTAAATTCGAGCAGCAACAAGAAGAAAGGAGCACTCACCATTATCCTATCGATTTCTTCAGGTATGCTGCTTCTGTCTGCAGTAGCTTATGCCTGTGCAATTAAAAAGAAAAGACATCACATGAAGAAACAAGGTAATGAAAAATATGTCAATCTTTTTTCCTTCTATAAACTAAACAGCATGTACCTGCATAAAAGATCATGATTATTGGAAAATTATGTAACCATGAAACTTTTAACATGCCATTTTATAGGAAACTGGGAGTATGATTCTGAAAAAAATAGTACTGGTTTTAGCATGGAAGATCTTGACGAGTTACCGTTTTTTAGCCTAAATAGCATAGCCAAGGCAACTAATGGCTTCAACATCAACAATAAGATTGGAGAAGGTGGTTTTGGTCCCGTGTACAAGGTAAACTTATATCCCTATTTCTTTGACTTTCTCTTTTAAGTCTGTTAAGTGGTTCTTTCTACATGAAGTCAAAAAGAACATCTTACTTACTAATGCTTCTTAATCTCTTAGGGTGTGTTGGAAGATGGACAAGAAGTAGCAGTGAAACGGCTCTCAAAAACATCCCATCAAGGAGTTGATGAGTTCAAGAACGAAGTCTTTTATATTGCAAAACTTCAACATCGGAATCTTGTGAAGCTTCTTGGATATTGCATTCACGGAAATGAAATGATTTTGATTTATGAATACATGGTTAACGGAAGCCTGGACTCATTTTTGTTTGGTTTGACTCTCTCTCCATAAATAGTACTATTTTTAGTACCTTACTTTTATTATTACACATCATGCAATAACATAGATGAATTTCTTACCAAATTCATACAAAATCTAAATATTTCACTTTGGGCAGATGAAACCAGAAGTTCAATGCTTGACTGGCCTCATTGCTTCGGGATTATCCATGGAATGGCTCGAGGTATTCTGTATTTACATCAAGATTCCCGCCTTCAAATCATTCATAGAGATCTCAAAGCAGGTAATATTTTGCTGGATAAGGACATGAATCCAAAAATATCCGACTTTGGCCTTGCGAGAAAATTTGTGGGATTTGATACCTCTGCTAAGACAAAGAAAGTGGTTGGAACATAGTAAGAATCTTTAATTTAAATCCAAGAATAATCACAAAATTAACCAAGATATGAAGTGACATGAAATGAGACAAATTGACCGCATTTGTTATCAATAGCACAAAATAACGGCTGGTTTTGCAATTAGTTTGTAGTGAAATTCAAAAAACAAATGGCAAATTACTTTTTACCGAAAAAAGGAGCAAAAAGCAGGAAAAAACCATATATATTCATTTCCTCTTGTTCCTTTTTCTTGCAAACTTTGAATTCCAAATGTTAAATGTGACTTGAGAATTGACAATCCGAATGGATATCGACCTTCCCGAGCAGAGTAAAGAAACCCAACATCTGACATCGATGGGATAAGTGTTTGTAGTAGGCTGACCCCCGCTGTATGGACCTACGTTGATATGTGTAGCTGGCCCGACCTGTTTTAGTTAGGGTTACATTTTGTACTTTGTTTATATAATACAACTGATAGCTGGGGTTTTAACTGTGGGAAAATACCGGCAATAGTCAAAAAATGGGGGGTAAATTCAAAATTTAGACATGAAAATGAACATTTCCAGGTATAGACATGTATTCCGCGGAGCTCCGCGGAATGGATCTTTAGAATTTTTTTTTTTTCACATCGTTTCTTCGAGGTTTATATTAATTCCACAACTAATTATTTTCAAGAAAAAGATTATGATAGTATGATAATCTTTGCTTGAAAATAATTAGTTGGGGAATGAATATAAATCTTGAAAAATTGATGTGAAAAAAAAAAAAAAAAAAAAAAACTGAAGATCCATTTCTCAGAGCTACCTCCGCGGAATGAGTTCATTCCTCTGAGGTAGCTCCGCGGAATGGATCTTGAGTTTTTTTTTTTAATACACTTATTTATTTACGATTTTGCCATTCCGCGGAGCTACAGTAGATTCCGCGGAGCTCCGCGGAGCTACCTCCGGAGGACCCTCCGCGGAATCCATGTCTATATCCGGAAATCCAATTTTTTGTGTCTATTTTTTGAAAATACCCCCCATTTTTTGACTATTGCCGGTATTTTCCCTTTAACTGTACTATCGGTTTTCAAGGTCGTAAATAAAATACTACCTCTTGCCCTGTGGACGTAGGTCATATCGACCAAACCACATTAAATTTTGTGTCTTTACGTGTGTGATTTACTCTCGTTTACTCCTAAAACCAAAAAATGCGTTTACGTTTCGTAGTTTTCTAACAATTTTGCAATTTGCATGACAAGTTTGTGGTCATTTTGTGCTATATGGTAACAAATATCATCAAGTTGCTAAATGTCACATCATATAATGGTAATTTTCCTTTAAATATATTTATATATCTCCGCAAAAAAAATGGAAAAAATTATTAATTACTTTAAACTTGCTTCAGTGGTTACATTTCTCCAGAGTATGCAATGCATGGACGTTTCTCTACAAAGTCAGATGTATTTAGTTTCGGTGTTTTAGTGTTGGAAATAGTGAGTGGAAGGAAAAACCAAGGATTTTCTCACAAAGATCATAGTGACAACCTTCTTGGACACGTAAGTGAATTTTGGATTTCCTTAAACTGTTGAGCAATTATTTTTTGCATACTCAAAACTAAATGAGTTCTAATTTGATTCAGGCATGGAGACTCTTCAAAGAAAACAAGTCCATTGAACTCATGAATGCATCTTTAAGGGATTCATGTGTTATGTCTGAAGTATTGCAATCAATACATGTAGGGTTATTGTGTGTGCAACATAATGTAGAAGATAGGCCAACCATGTTGTCAGTGGTTTTGATGTTGATTAGTGAGGGAGTGTTGCCTCAACCTAAACAACCTGCTTTTTTTACTGGAGAGAACTACCCTGAACACTATGTTAAATCATCAGATGAATACATGATAACACTACCATATGCTCGATAGTAATAAGAAGAATTTGTATGTCAGATGTATATATACACTAAACTTTGTAACTTGATTGGTCTGAATCCTTGTGTAGACTTGACAGACTTTGTTATTAACTGTATAATGTCTAAATATGCTTGCTGCATTTTCCCTTTCAGACTGGTATAAGAAAAAAACATTGAACAAATTATTTCATCGAATTTTTTATGTCATTGTTTGGGCACTTGCTCTTCAAGAACACCATTTAAGAATGTTGTTCGGATTAACATAAAACCAACTTCTATTTGTGTCTAAATCAGAAAGTGCTACTTGTGGATTATTCTCATTAAATTGAATTTTATGCAACTAGTAGGCATAGATCTATCAGTTATGGAAAATGAATCTTTCATCATTAGAAGTGTCTAACCAATACGTCACAGATTAACATAAAACTGGGTTCTATGTGTAATGTGGTTTGAAATTGAAAAACTAAATTAATCTTTTCAGTTACGAAAAGAAAAAAAAAGACAGCAATTTTGCGTCCTTTCTCCAAAAACAAATAAAAAATAAATAAGGTTTAAAGTTGCTTGATATATAATTTGGTTCAATGTGGGCATAAAAGTATGCAGAAAATTGTAATCAAGATCTCTTAGAGAAATAAAATGATTTTGATTAGGATAACTCATTGTATACAATCTGATGAAATAAAATTTCGAAATTTGATGAAATCTTTAAGAAGTTACCACAAACTTTGAAATTGACACTAATATAATATAAGTTCATTTGATTACAAGATGAAGTTTTACAAGGCCTTTACATATGAGAATTTTGGAGCTCAAAAGCAAGCATGCATGTTGCATATTAATTGGGGAAAATTCCTTTAGGAATAATGACATCTCCAATGTTGTTGTGCCATGGGTCAGCCAAATGAGTTGCCAAGTTCTCCAATGGTCCGGTTCCAGGGTAAGCCGATTGTTGCACACAAAATCCCACAAATGCCAACAAAGCCAAACGTCCTACATTTCATTTTAATATATACATAAGTCAAAAGGGTATAATTATATATATACATATACATATATGTAAAGACTTGTAATAAATGTTTTATTTACCATTTTTGATCTCTTTGACCTTGTACTCTGCGAAGGTTTTAGGGTCTTTTGAGTAGCCTAATGGGTCAAAAGCACCACCGGGGTACTTCTTCTTTTCTGTGTCTTTTTCCATGCTCCTTTGGTGTTCTACGAATGCAATGGAGATGAATTCGATAGCCAAGATTGTGGGTAGGGTACCCCATGGCACCGGGTTCCCTAGGTATGTTGCTTGCCCGCCGGGCAGGGCTGCCCATTCTTGTGCTTTTACCCAATTGCCCAATCCTAATGCTTCAGGTAACAAAATCCCAGGCTGCAAATTTGTAACGTATTAATAAATAATAATTGTAACTTGTATAATATTATATATATATAGTATAAATAATATTATATATATAGATAATCTAATATATATATATAGATATATAGATCTATATATATATATATATATAGATATATATATCAAACATATAACACTAATCATTGCTATTTTTTTCGTTAATGAATGACTTACTACTGCAAGCATAGCCCATCTGCAGTGAATGAGCTCTGACTCTTTGAATCTTTCAAGGTTCTCTGGGACCTCACCAAGACCAAGTGGGTCAAACCCAAAATCCCTGAAACACACACAAGATCAGTAAATCAGCTTCAAAAATCGTTTCTTGTGAAACTAGTTAATCGTCAGACGGAAGAAAACGTACCCAGGTGCAGATCCGTCAAGGTACGGTGGTCGTGGTTGTCCGGGCATCCACTCGGCGGACATGGAAATCCGAGATGCGTTGGTGGTAACTCCGGAAAGTGGCACAGCAGTCGCGAATCTTGATTTGGAAGAGGAGAGAAGCGAGGGGCGGCCCACGGCGGGGATGCCGCAGCTCATTAATGTATTGGAAGCCATTCCCAGAAGAATGTATGAATCTGGAAATGGAAATGGAGGATTTTAGCGGTGGTGGTGGTGGTAGTTGTGGTTGTGGATGAATAATGATGGTGGTGACTGGTGACTAAATATGGAGGAGATTTTTAGGGGCAATATCCATATGCTGATTTATTATTGGCTAGGTGTTGGGAGATACTAGCTTGTTATTGGACCACGTGGAAGGTTAATCCATTTGATATGCTTACGTGGAGGGTAAGGGTAGTTTTGTAATTTACGTTGTGTTATTTGATTTTTTTGTGGTCAATTGGTGGTTGACATTTATTTGCCATGGAAAAGGAGGAATCGGAAATTGTGGCCATGAACGAACCCGGGGTTTCGCCATCTGTTCATGATTTTTTTTAACAGCAAAAACAAAATTGGTAAAGTAAAAGCATTTTTAATAAAAAAACTAACAGAAAAAATAATTACAAGGATAAAATTTTTGAAACGACAACAGAAACCAAACACTTAAAACCTGAATAACAAAGCCAAAAGTTAAAACAAAAATGACCACCAATACAAGAATTGAAACTTATATCAAAGATAATGATGATGGATAAGAAAAAAAATGAGTGACACTCCAAACTACCAAAAATATTGCGACTCTCATGCAAAGGAAAATCAAACTAGAACAGTTAAAATCATCGATGAAACAAACTCAAACCGTCAAACAGAACATATAAGTTTTTTTGAACAGAAATATGTTAATTTGATTACCTGTTGAATGTGTTAAATGTGACCGGAGCTTACTAATCAGCCGCTAGCCTATTTGATCTTAAAAATATTGTGTAATAATAATCTATTTGATCTTAAAAATATTGTGTAATAATAATGTAAATGGTTTATTTATTTGATGAATGTTGTGAAATAATGTTT